ATGACAATATTATTATTAGGTATTCAATCGTTTAAAATACTTATATATTTTATGTTTAACTTTGCTAAATTTTATGTATAGCAACTTTTAGTACGCCTAATATAAATTCTGAATTCGCTATCAATATTCCAGCAAATTTTCAAATATCTCTACTCAAGTATATCAACATTACCGACAACACAGCGCAAAACACTACGTTCGATATATCTCCTTCCATTGGTATGATGGACTTGAAGTTTCTCCATAGCACTGATCTCACAAACACACCTAATTGAGTAAAAAATAATCAGATAAGACATCTATCTTGTTTACTTGTTTATCACATCATCATATTCATTCGCCAAAAAATAAACATAACTATAACTATAATTTATGAATGTTTATGTACTATTACTAACTGCTATTCATATAATCAAATTGCGATAACAAGACCTAAGGACGCTAAGAGATCGGCAACTGCAAGCCATACAATAATATCTCGTCCTCTGAAGAAGCTCCTCCAACGATAAGAACTATTCGAATCCGCTCGGGGTAGTATCTGAAAAAATATATTTTTCTATGTTTAACAATGCTAATTTGCCTTGATACCTTCAAATATTTCTCAAATTACATTAATCTGTAGCATTGCTTGATATATGTAAATATATTTTTTCACTATGACTGTAATTATATATATATATATAAAACAAATATGTAAAATTATTTCATATTTTATTCAGATAATTTTTATCATATTTTTACACTGTTATTCAATATAAATACTTTTATATCGGTTTCTTTTAGCTGCACTTTTCTATATACTTGTCACATGTGAAACAGAATAAATGTATATACATCAGAGGAAGAAACAAAGTGTAAAAAGTGTAACCAAAACAATCACATCATGACAGAAAAGTTTCAATTTCAAAATAATATTTTCTAGCAATCGAATTCAGTCATAATAAGAATTACATATCTTAGATGAATTCCTGCTCTGTACGTTAGTTATTGCAAATTAATAAAAGAAACGAAGCAAAGGAGGGGGAATGTTCGGAGATAACATTTCATATAAATTTACCTGATAAATCGCGCCTATCATACCCATTGTTGACGAAAACATGCATACTGTATTGTACGCATCTGTATTGAATTCCTGCATTATCACTATCGCTCTATCCGTTCGATTTGTGTGATGACAGCAGAATGTTTGTAGGGTCGGGTCGGCCATTATTATAGAATGTTATCGCGGTCGAGTCCAGCGTGTTCTGCCAGACACTATCCTACTCGATCTAGTAACTCTCCGATAAAAGGGAACCGCAGTTCCCCACTCAGACATCTGGCAACCAATCGATACGTTCGAGATACAAACTTGTTTTATGATATGCGAAATACGTTTTGGTATTTCTAAACAAAAATCTTGGTAGAAATCTTTTTTTTTATTGCAGCTTGGATAGCTTTATCCATTACAATCTGGAAATCAAAGTAATCCTATATAAAAAATAATTTTTGAACGCGTTCAGGCTGGCTTGTTCTATCTTTCAATAAATCTCAACTTGTTCTATTAACAAAAGTATATCAACTTATTCTTTTACTCTCTTATGTCTATTTCTAATGTAAAAATTTTTATTTCTGCTTATATTGTATATATATAATTTATTCTTTATCCTTTTCTAATTCTTAGGATTTTAAATCTTGATTTAACATACTTTTTCTAATTGTTAGAATTAAAAAAACGTTAGAATAAAAAATACGTTAAATCAAGATTAAAAATTTACATCAGCAGAAATAGACATTATTCTCTTATTCTTTTATTCTTTTATCCTCTTATTATTCAATAGATAAGTTATCACATAGTTATTATGTTCGAAGATAGAACAAGTAACCCTCAGTCACATTAAATTAATTGTATCAATGTATATACAGTTAAATAAATTGGAATTCAGTATTTTCTTCGCTTTATTATGTCTGGTCGCCAGTCGACAGGATGCGTTTCTTCAGTCTGAAAACATAGATAAAGAATAGTTGATGTAAAGTTCAGAAAATTACGAGCTAATTGAATATTATCAATGTGTGATCAAATCAGTAAGCATGATGAAAAATCAACTTACAGCAGTATCATCTTCTTTGTATACTTTGATAGTCTTATCAGCCTCTGTTGTAATCATGCGAGTGCCCGACATGTCGAACGTGATGCTGAATACTCCGGCTTCGCTATCCATTGAGCCTGGTTGGACCGGCGCTTGGAGTCGTTGAAAATTATATCCAGTTCGCCAGTCCCAGAGGTGCATGGTACCGTTGTCAGCACCGGAAACCAAAACGCCATCGACATTCACGGCCAGGCAGTTGACTATGGCGTTATGTCCCGATAGGTTTTGAATAAATTTTCCCTCCGGACATTTCCACTGTTTGATATTGTCTGGCGATGCTGAGGCAAACATATATAGAGACGGATGGAACGTCAGAGCGCGCACACTCTTCTTATGATTCGTCAGAGTAGCTCTGGACTTGCCAGCAGCCAAGTCCCACAAACGAATCGTGCAATCATGGCTGCCAGTGATGATCTGCGGCTCGGCGGACTGGCAGATTACGCTAGCTACCGTATTGGTGTGTCCAACGAGTGTATGGACATTTGCCTTGGTACGCATATCCCACACTCTTCCAGTGGAATCTCGTCCTGCTGTTACTAGAACGTCTATACTAGGATGTAACGCCATGGAATATACTGCTGACAAGTGGCCATGGTAGTGTCTAATTACTTTATTATATTCCAGATCCCAGCATTTGACTTGCCGATCTTCTCCACAGGAAAATAAGTAAGGATGTCTTTGTGAAAATGCTAGACCACGAACGCTGCTTATGTGACCTGTTAACGAAACCTTCAACTTGCCGCTCGCTAGATCCCATATCTGTAATTTTAAAAACATCAAATTAATGTATTATGTTTTTATTGTGTGTATTATAATTATTATTAATTTTGAAAATACCAAATCATTGTATTAATAAAATGAAAGCTATTTCATTGATTTTACATTCTAGGACATTACTAAATAAATTGAAACATATTGTGTACTTACTTTGATTACTCTGTCGGCTGAGCCTGTAGCAAACCACTCGTTTCCAGGTTCCACGGCGCAACATCTCACCCAACCCAAATGACCGCTGATAACTCTGTACAATTTCCATGGAGCATGCCATTTAGGTTTCGCCATTGATGGTGTTTTCTTTGGTGGTATTGTAAGCGCACCACTGCTTACATTGCTTCCTATACCTGTTGATATTATACTTGTGCTGCTTTTTGTTATATTGTAAGGAACAACTGCCGAGGTAGCATTAACTCCAAAAGTTTCATCTAAAGCATATTAAAATTGATAAGATATATATAAGATATATGTAAGAGAGTAATAATTTTTATTTTCAGCTTAGTTATGTATATGCATAATATTACCTCCTGGTGGTGGAGGATCTGCAATGTCATTTTCTTGTTGCACTTTAGCTATATTATTTTGCTTGACGCGTTCTAATACTGGGCCATAACAGTCTTTAGCTTTTATCACCTTCTTCATTTGTTGTCTAAAAATAAATATAAATAAAAAATAAATATAAATTTATTAATGCTCTCCCATAAGATTAAAATAGGAAGTTTGATTGACAAGTAAACATAGCTATTATAAACATAGCTATTATAAAAGTCTATGACTATAACAAAGGCTGCTTTCTTTTTAACAGACAAGATATCTGTTTTCTGTAGGTGAACTCATATATTGGGTTGTCTGGAAAGTTTGTGCCAATGTTGAAGAAAAATTGAAACGCAGAAAATTTAAATTTTAATATACATTTATTAAATTATATAAGTTAGTTGGATGAATTTTCCGGACAACCCAATACATTTGGAACTTAAAGTGAAACAGATGTGTTTTATATTTGTCAAAAGTAAAAAAGTTATAGTAGTCTAGTATAAGAATTAAACAAGACCTATAGGCGACACAAGTTGTCTGTTAGTTTTATTATTTATTGAATATCAAGAAGTATAGAATGATGTTTAACTGTGTCTTCTAAAAAGAAAGCAGCCAAAGTGACAAGTTAATGCTTATTATTCAAATTTAATAAGATGACAATTTAATAAGATGACAAGATATTTACAAAATAGGATCCTCCGGCGGTAGGGATCCTTGATTTAATAAAAACATATCGTGAGTCCTTTTTAGAGACCGAAACACTAGCGTGTGCACAGAGTGCCGTTGGACATCCTAGAACAAGATGATGTGTTAATGAAATTTGTAAAAATTCGCAGAGTATAATTATAAAAATATATTTTTTATCATAAAGAATATATTCGATAAAATTTATTAAAATATTCTTACCATTCTTAATATTGTAAGATAAATATAATTACGATTTTATTCTGAAGTTGTAAATTACTTTTTTCGAATATGTTTTTCTGAGGTTATGAGTAATGATGCCACTTGCCAGTTGCCAGATTCTGATTCGATTCGATGTATCGAGAATCGATTCTTTTTCACACTCAAAAATTGAATCGTCAGTTGATTCTGCAGGTCACTTCGACCAACTCCGATCAACGGTTTAGTGGTTTAGTCCATTGGAATTGACCAATCGCATTTGTCAATTTGATTAATGATTATCATTGATGTAAAGTTAATTGAAACCTGTCGGAATGGACTTGGAAAATTTGATTCATTGTCGATTCGATTCCTTTTTAGCTAGAATCGAAGAGATAATAGAGAGTTTTTATAATGGCTGTGTTCAATCGAGAAAATAACTTTGTAACTATTGTAAAATTCTTCAATACGATTGGTTCTTAATTTTGATTCCTTATTGATCTAAACATATAAAACATATAAACTAATCATATTGAAGAATTTTATAACAATTGCAAAACTGTTTTCTCTGCTAAACGCAGCCAATGTCATTAATTAGTTAAAACATTTTTTAATTATGTAGAAAGTTGAACTATGCATGCAAAGTTGAACTATGCACATTTTGACTTTCCATTTAAAAAAATGACATAGATACATCTGTAATTAAATCATAATTATATGGTGGCAAATGATTCAATTTAATTCCTCAGATTTAAATCATCACAGCTTTGTTCATCTTCTGATAAAAGAGAAGAGAAAGATTATCTCTGATATCTCTCCTCTCATAAAAAGAATAGTTTAAATTAAAAAAGATTTTGTGTGTGTGTGTGTGTATGTGTGTGTGTGTGTGTGTGTGTGCGTGTGTGTGTGTGTGTGTACATACGATGATGATTATTATTCATATTAATGCTTATTATCCAAATTTAATAAGATGACATTTGACCTGTTGTTTATTACAACCATTGCGACATGTTTTTTCAGCGTCACAAGCCTGTTATCGCATTTGTACTATTTATTGCCTGCTAGGGAGATGAATATATGTACATTATATCCGATATAATAAATGCTCTTTGATTAGCACATCCACATTCTGTCTCGCATTACCACGTATTATCTTTAATTGAGCACAAGAGAATTCTGTTGGCGAGATATTTGCAAACCGGTTTTGTTTAGAAAGACAAATACCTGTGTGCAGTTTTAATAGCCTTATTCGGATCTAACATCTAAAAATGCCGAAGAAATTAGGTGAGTTATTTCATAGAATTGAGAAGAAACTCGAGAAAAACAAAGATGATCTAATTAACCTTTAATTGATAGCACACTACCTGTTGGCTCGCATTTGTCAGATTTGTATTGTTTCTTTTATTAATGAAACAATAACAATCGATTTTTGTTCATTTCTTTTTTATCTAGATGCAAATTACGTTTTATTTGCAATTGTTTAGCAACTGCATAATTAGTATAAAATTAGAATTCATATTATACTACTTTGCGCTGATATAGTACATGATATTTAAACTTTGATTAACGCAAAATTATATGTCAAGATATATATTTCCTATATATTGAATAAAATAAAAATATGTTATTTTATTTTGGAGATAACAAAAACAAAGAAATATAAATATAAACCAAATTATGGCAGTGATAAGAAATTGATATAATTGAATAAACACATTAAATATTAAAGAAAAGATACAAATTTTTAGATACGTTTACATATTTACAGATTTTGCTGTGATTACTATTTATATCTTTCATGTTGCAATTTTTAAGTAGTAATGACAGAGATGCTAATCAATTTTATAAAATTTTTAGCTCTTTTAAGTGTATCTGACAAAACCAATTTGTTACTGCTGGCAAAAAAATTACATGAATTTGGATTAACTCTAATTGCTTCCGGTGGTACTGCACAGACTTTGAGAGATGCTAAGTTACCAGTGCGAGATGTTTCAGAAGTTACAGGAACATGTGAAATGCTTGGAGGACGTGTAAAGACTCTTCATCCTGCTGTTCATGCTGGTAAGAATGAATTTGTTTAATTAAGTAATTTATCAATATAACTTGTAACTTTCTTTTGTCAAACATATCTGTTTCAGTTTAAGTACAAAAAATGTACACTAGTTCAGCTTCATAACAAAACAAATCTCCATATTTATCAAAATGTTATTTAATTAAATAAAATAATTATATGACATGTACAATTAAGCTATAATATACATACTTTTAATTTTTACATTATTATAAATAATTTTTACATTATTATTTTTATTGTGACAGGCATTCTTGCTAGATTGACAGATTCTGATGCTCAAGATCTTCAGAAACAAAATTACGATCTTATTGAAGTAGTTGTTTGCAATCTATATCCTTTTGTAAATACCATTTTGAAACCAAACGTGACGGTCGAGGATGCAATAGAGAATATCGATATTGGTGGTGTAACTTTGTTACGCGCTGCTGCTAAGAATCATGCTAGAGTTACAGTTATCTGTGACCCCAATGATTATGAAAAGGTCATCAAAGAGATGGATACTGCTGCTGACAATAACACCTCTTTGAAGACTAGGTAAATTTACATTGCAATCATGTAAAATTTGCCTTTTTGATAATACTGTG